ATGGTCTGTCCCCTACTCGGGGGAGGGGGGGGGGGTGGTCTGTCCTCCGCATGTGCGGGTGGTCTACGTTATACGGTTGTGGCCGTCATCGTGTCCGAGAACCTCCCGTCCCGCAAGTACATCGTCCAGCACGATCGTCCGCGTCTGCAAGGCGTTCTTCGTGACGATTTCCGCCGCGTATATGTCAGTCATCCACCCCGTCAAGTTCATTTTCTCGTCGTCTTGTGACACCTGGAACACACAATGGGTCCCTGCGGTGTTCTCCGGAAACACGTGCAACGGGAACCTCTCATTCAGACACAAGGCGGCGTCGCGAGTGCCCCACCCCAAAATCTGGACGGATTGCAACATTGTATTCGGCTCAGTCTTATGCAACTCCGGCAGGTCAATGAACACCAGCTCCTCGTCCCACTCATCTGCCTGTCCACATGTCTCCTGTGCACACTCTTGCTGTCCACGCTCCTGTTGTGTAGCTGCCCAGTTCGGTTGGGCCGTCGCTTGTAGACCTGTGGTTGCCTGTGCCTCCGACACAAGGTCTGTCCGCAGGACTGTGTCCGGCTGAAGGACTGTGTCCGGCTGAAGGACTGTGTCCGGCTGAAGGACTGTGTCCGGCTGAAGGACTGTGTCCGGCCGCATGGGAATTAAAACCGTCTTGCGGGGGGTCGAGTTTTTGTTTTGAAACGAATGAATGCACTCATCTGTCAAGCGTCGGAGACCTGAAGATGACGCTGTGACAAGCCACACCACGACGATCCCGAAACGAAGACTGCAGGTTTCGGCCCTATCCACGACCGGGCCGACGAAGCGGCCAGCTGTGACTGCACCAACAACCTCCACCAAGAACCCCCGTCTCAGCCGGCCGATTGTCGCCTCAAAAGGTGTTGTTACGGGCGCACAACAAGGCCTGATTGTCTCCCCTTCTAACGCAAGAACCCTCCCTCCCAAAAGCACCACTCGAGCTCCCGCCATTGTCTCCGGCGTACCGCGCGTTCTCGCAAACTCTCGCAGAACCGGACCTAGCTCCGGCTCCGGCTTCGGAGGCGGTTCCGCTTTCGGGTCTCGAGAACAGTCGGCGACTGCCCAGTCGGCGGCCGGGCGGCCGCCGACCGCGCGGCCGACGGCCGCGAAGGAGAGACCCGCGGCCGAGTCCATAACGCGCAGTCTGGCGCCGAGACGTTCGGATGCCATTGTCCCGAAAGGAGTGTCTTCGAACCGACCGCAAGCGGCCCGGCCACTAGGCACGACTTCGCGGCCTATTGTTACAGCAGGCGGGATATCGTCGTTGGGAAGCTCCTCGCTGGGTGCGCTGGGGACATCCGCACAAGTCAAGTTCAAAAGCACTCAAGCGGTAGACAGCCACGGTAGTGGTGGTCACGGCGTGGGTGGTCAGGCGAGGAGAGCCGCAGGGCCCAGTCTAGTGAAGCCCGGAGTTCCCGTCAAGGCCGCTGTGGGTGGCGCTGCCAAGGCTGCCGCGGCCGGTGGCACGCCGAAGGCCGTCCCAGGCGGCGCGGCCAGGGCAGCCGGTTCCTTGTTGAATGCGCGGCAGCCATTCAAGAAGCAGGCGGTATCCATAATTCCACGACAGGGCGGCGTGGGAGCACCCTCGGCATCGGTGTTAGCAGCCCCTTCGGCGTTGGCGCAGATGCGGCAGATGCAGCGGCCGAGCGCGGGTCCTCTGATGAGAGCGACCGTGGCGAGCACGTTGCGGGGAGGCGGTCCCATTGTGGGCGGATTGGGCGGAACGGCCATTGTGGGCCGGCAGATGGGAGCGGCGCGGCCAGACGTCTCTC